GTCTTTCTTTACTATCGACAGAACTCAAGTTCTGTTCGTACTGAAAATACAAGTACCAGTATTATTTGTTTAGGCGCCACCGCAGCTGAGCTCCGGCTTTCGTTTTCTGGAGAAGGAGTGTAGGAAAACAAAAATTTTTTAATATCACATATACGTTAAGTTTGTGTAACACGGGGGTTCGAGTTTGACGGTCACCTGGTAAATTAAAGTATTCTAATTTATAAGTAAAATAAGTCGCGTGCATACGTTTGTAACGATTTTCTGTATTGTTAAGTGGAATTTCATAGTAACATTTTTGAGTAAATTATTTATGAAATGGTGTTTCAATTATTATTATTTATTTGCCATATATAAACATTTTTTGTGTTTTAAGTAAGATAAAAGCAAACTACTTTAATCTACTACAATTGACCTTTTTCCACTTACTTTCCAAGTTTTTTCGTATTTGAGTAAAACAAACAATAACGAAATGATATTTATCAAAATAATACATAAGATCTGAATAAGATCGGAATTCATCTTATAGTGCATTGAAGTTAGTTTGCTTTGAATTCAGATTGTACCAGAAATTAAGTGATAATGTTATTTAGAATTCTCTATGATAATATCCAACAAATTTCTCTACTCTTAATAACAAATCAAAACAAGTTTTAAGAATACGAATGTGAACTGTTCCGGATGAGTTTATGCTGGTTTCAATACAAATTTTGTTTCAGAACGGACTGTAAACTTCGACTTGAGTAAAACTTGAGTATGTCTGATATATTTAATTTACTCTGGTTTGAATTTAAATATAACTACTACTATGTAAAAGTGTGCAGATCGGTTATAGTTTTTATCACTCAATCGCTATAATATATCACAATTAACTAGCCAAATTTGCAGTAATAAATGTCATATATGAGATCAAAATGTGCTAACCTTAGTTCAGTGACTGTAAGCGTAAATATAGTATAAGACTATGTTCTCGAAAACTGATGTTGGTACTATATGTTCTTATTTTACGAAAATTCGATTTCCTTATAAAAGACCCACAATTTTTTAAGTACGAGAAACAACATTCAAAGTATTGGAAAATCAACAAAATTTTTTGTTTTTTTTCCCAGTAACAGTATTAATTTTAGGGAGATTGGAGGATCGCCTGATTCATAGTATTTTTAAGAAATACAATTTTCTTTTATGCATTACAAACGTCTATACAAACATATATGACGAATTACAGTGAGTTGTTTTAGTTCAATTCTGTAAGTATTTGTGGCGTATCGCAGAGGAAGCACTCAGGCTATAATTTTTCTATTAAAGTATACCTCGCTGTATTAGGAATAAAATAGTTGAATCACTTATTAACTATAGACTATAGACATAGACTCTCCTACTTAGGGTCACACTTTTTCAATTCACTAAGAGAGCTAGATTCTATTTCCATAGCTCGTGTCAATGGCTTTGCGGCCAGTACCAACTGGTTATAGGGACAGGTTTTAAATTCTTTAGGGTATCACAATGGACCTTATGGTCTAAGTAAGTCTTCGGACAGCCCCAGTAACCTAACCTAACCTATTAACTATGAAAACGGTACTACGTTAGTGTACTAAATGGGAATACATAAGACAAAATCAACATTATATTATATCAATCAATCAACTTTTTGAATCGCTATAATATCTCCACCCATTTCTTACAACATGATCCGTATTCATGGAATATATGCTAACGTGGCATATAGTTAGTGGCAAGATATTATAATATGCTCAATAAAGACGCAGAAGGACAAGAATTCGTATTATAGGTTTTAAGTGAATATCGTAAAAACCATCCTGGCTATTTAAAAGCAGAATTATCAATTTGAGTTACGTATTTGTAGTGAACAGTTTCAAATGCCAAAAATTAAGGTCTTACCTAATGGGAGTTAAGAACCAAACTTTTGTATGGGAGGTGGTCTATGTTTTTGAAAAGTTTTAATATAAGAAATTAATATAAAATTTTAATACTAGTATGTAATAAATATTAACCCTCTCAGGCCAATATTTAAATTTTTGAGATCAAAAAATCCATTAGCTTCAAAAAAACTGAAAACTTTGAGTAAATTTTCGAGAAAAAGTTTTATAATGTATAAAGTTGTTTTCTAAAAACATAACAGACTTAATCATGGATGGTAAACGAAACACGAAACAATTAACAATGACCGATAACCAATTATGTCAGAAAAATAAAGTTTTACAAGTGAACTAGGTTAAGATGTCGACGTAGACGCTTGCAATGTATAAAATTAACCTTAAATTAAATTAAATTAACCCTAAAATTAATACTTTGCTAGTTACTTAAAAAAAACTGAAATTTCCCTTATTTTGTCGATACATTAAATGCAGAGCGCCTTCTCTGAATTTACTTTAACCGCCTCAAGGCGGGCTTCTTATATACGGCTATCAAAAAATTATTTGGTTATATTTTTAATATTTTTTTGATATCAAGTTGTTTCTTCCGAAACCTTGAGGTTTCGATCATATATTTTAGAATATTGTTAAAACTTTGTTATCATTTGCAAAATACATACATATGTGTTACATGGGTGACATGACATGGGTGTTAATTTTCAAGGTATCGAAAGTATACAATTATCTGCAGGCACACAATCTATTGTATGATTCCAGAAAAAAGTCTAGTAATGCAATATCGCATGAACATAGGGAAATTTGGCTTTGGAAATTTTTGCGACACTCTTTTATTCGAATCTATATCCGGTCAATTTTCATTGAATCCAATACAACAATTTTGTGTGAACTAAAAGAGAGTCTCAATGCTGCAGAAAATTAGATGTAAAATAAAAATTTAAAATGCAAAATGGATTATGGAATCCCCATTATTAATGTAATACATTTTAACACTTCCAGAGATTACTCAATAGTCCATATTGATTGAATGACAGTCTGTTTAACATACATCACTGAAACTGTACTGTTAAAATAGGGCAACGGACTGGGTAACATTTCATGATCTGAAGTCTGTAGAAAGTATTCAAACTTCAGCAGACGCTAGCTTAAACATTTTGTATCTTAATTTATATATGTTTTCATAATGTTAATATTCTCCACCAGTGATCGTCAACCTAGTCCTTATGGGCTTCTTGGGAGCACTCCAAAGTTTAAAGTGGGTGGTTGAGATATTATCCTTAATGAAGTATGAAGAAAATTTTATGGAATTTTTAAATATTTTCATTAGGTTTTTATAAAATTTCCCGCTAACATATATCTGTTTATAATTATAGCATATGTTAGTGAATTTAGTTTAAATGTAACATAAATAGCTACTCATATTGTATAATTAATTTAGTTTTTCTCAACCTACCTTGCCACAGAAGACAATATGTAAGAGCTTGGTACATTGGAAGAAGTATGAAACCAAATTAAGATGCGTCTGTCTACCCAAACGCAATCGTCCAGTGCCAGACTAAGTTTTAATAATTTAGAGTTTAATAAAAATGACTCGATGGAACAAGTACTAAATATACCTGAGAATGCTGAAAATAAGCCGAAATTATTAAATATTCGGAATAAAAGCGGAAAAAATTCATATGAAGAAGAAAATGACAAGTCTAAGTATATGCTATTTCATCATATTAATGAAAATGAGTGCAAACTACATACAAATCCTCCACAATGCCTTCGACCGCACCAAGAAATATTGCTGCAAATGCAGTGTATGAAATCTGCTTTGTCCAAAAAGGAAAAGCAGGTGGAAAACCAATCTACTGATATCGTAATCGATTTAAGTAAAAATTCGGTAGGAAAGCCTACCAATGCGACCGAAGCAAGTTCAATTAGAAATATTGGTTGCATCGCAGAGACTATCTCTTCAGGTGTATCATCCTCAAATCAAGTGAAGCAGATCACGTCAATTGATGGCTTTTTCAACAGAAAGCGTGGACGACCACCAAAAAATCGATTCGTTGAAGTCTATAAAAATGTAAGTATTCATATGGACGTAATATTCACTAATGTTCGTCATAGTTTTTGTTAGGTGTACTGAACTTTTCCCTTTCATAGTCTTTTGTTGTGCTTAGAAAGAACTAGATTGTTAAAAATTATGTATTGTAGTTCTCATTTTATTCGATTCGAAATGAGTTAATGGTATTGTATCACAATTTCTACTTAATTGAATCCAACGGCATTGCTGGTAACTTGTAGATACATTTTTAATAAAAAATTTTTTAAGTTATTGTTTGCTTATTTTTACTTTATTGCTTAAAAGCACTTTTAGATTTCAAATTGCAGATTAATATTTTTTCCACGTACAAATTCAATAACAAGTCAAAATTAGTGAGCAGAGTACATCTATTGCACCTGTATTGAGTGCCGTGATATTGTAGATGCGTTGAAGGTATCGTCATTTTCACTATACTAATATGTTTAATTATTAAATTGATTATGGATATTTTGGCATAGATTTCTTGTACTTTACATGTGGTATTAACATGCTTAGCTCCAACAAAAAAACTCAGCTCAAATAAATGTGTTCATCCTGTTAAATTTGAATATTTTCACGAACGAGCTTTTCGCGCGCTAATCTATTACAAAGTATGTAGGGACGTTTCCAGTCATTAAGACCGAAACTTCAGTTTAATCAGTTATTACTATAAAAGAAAAGGAAACAGAATTTCAAATGGGCAATATGCGTAGGTATTCAGTTTTACAATTAAAATGTTGTGAAATATGAGCGATGAGCGATTACAAATTAAATATGCAAATCACGTTATTTGTATAATTAATAGCAACGCATAGATTTTATGCCATTATGAATTCCTTTTAGAATTAAAATTTTCTTTTTAAAATTACCATATATACATTAAGACTGAAAAGTTTTCGGAAATTCTCATTTAAAATTCGCGCGCTGTATATTTTTCGATATTTTAAGTTTATGTAGTTTGGCAGCACTGTCCTTAATTACTATGCCAAAAATGAGCTCGATCTGTCAGACAGTTCGTTTACGGCAGCTGTTGAAACCAGTTCACCTCAGTAGTGCGTTGCGAAATGTCTTCGACGGTCGTACGACCGTCCTGGAAGGCTTTGTACCACTCATAAACTTGAGTTTTCGATAAAACTGATTCCCCATAAGCCTTTTGTAGCATTCGCAACGATTCTGCACACGAAATTTCGTTCGAAACACAAAATTTGATGCAAACTCTTTGTTCAATATTTTTTTCCATTGTTTTTTTCGCAACGCCCTACTGAGGTGAACTGGTTTCAACAGCTGCCGTAAACGAACTGTCTGACAGATCGCGCTCATTTTTGGCATAGTAATTAAGGACAGTGCTGCCAAACTACATAAACTTAAAATATCGGAAAATATACAGCGCGCGAATTTTAAATGAGAATTTCCGAAAG